TGTAGCAAGAAAATCCACTCTTTCCTTTCCTAGCACTCCTATATACCCCGCACAGTATATCCACGTGAGTTCCTTGCTGATGCTTGGTATCCCCTCATGTCACATTTATCCATTCTGAACCTTCCGCAGTACCAACTGCGAATGACAGTGTTATTCTTCTGGGAATTTAATTTTCTGCTATCCACTTCAGAGCTGCAGTGACTGTCCCTACCTTCATCTTCATTGTTGAAGCTGCTGATTAAAAGAAATAAATTATTTTCTTCTGTCGTGATATTTTCCTTCACTCTAGCTGAAAATCCCCAGCCAAATCTTTCACCCATGAATAGAACCAACGTGTACACTACTGCATCGTTAAGCCCAGAAATGTCATCGATAAGATGTTTTACCTCTAATTCTGCTACACTGTTGCACCACTCTCTACCTTCTCTTCCTTAGTGATAATGACCCGATGGAGACTGCTGTCGATTGTTGACTCACTCCTGCCCTCTGAGACTGCTGTCGATTGTTGACTCACTCCTGCCCTTTGAGACTGCTGTCGATTGTTGCCTCACTCCTGCCCTCTGAGACTGCTGTCGATTGTTGACTCACTCCTGCCCTCTGAGACTGCTGTCGATTGTTGACTCACTCCTGCCCTCTTTGTATTTGCTCGAATGAGACCGCCAGCTCGATGGCATTTTCCGCTAGTGCTATCCATGACTTTCCTCTTTTCAAGTGTTTTTTTTTCGCCAGGGACACAGATGAGTATCATTTATTATATATATTAGAGTCCTATGTAGTCACTTCATAGTTAGAGCATATTTGTGTATGTGTACTGTGTTGTCCTTTATGTGCTGATGAAGGCTAATCGCCGCAACGTCCTTTGTTTGTTTATTGTGATCGATTTTGTAAAGCTAACATAAACTATTTGTTGTTTCTTACCAACTTTTTCTCTTCCCTATAATTTTCTACTCCTTTTAAAAACCTCTAAAATCACCCAGATTGCTATGCAACGGATGTCTTTCATCAGTGGTAACTCGCATTTATGCCTAGCCTCATAGAAAATGACCCTTTCCTTTGCTTCAGGCGTATTGGATTTAAAGGGTTAGATCATTATTTTATAGACCAATCGGCGCGCTAGATAAGCTGCTTAAAACACGGCCAGCTACAGATTTACATACAGCAGGACGTGGTTAAAACCATCTGCACGGCCACCGGGTATAATTGTATAAGATTGTAAGAGTACTTGTATACTTACCTAGCAATAGGTTTTTCGTCCTTTTCAGGACGAAATTTTTTGTTATTTGAAGCCACACCCTGGCTTTTGCCAGGGGCCGCAATATAGGCAGGCCATAAATATGGCCAATTGCCTGAACGCGGTTTCTGGGACCTCTCCACGGCGATCCTCATCCAAATGGTGGCACTTTGTGTCATCGGGTGTTTATCGCTTGTGTGATGTCCTAGTGGGGTAGAAAGTCAGTCAGTCAGAGTACTTGTACTACAACAGCAATCAGGAACACTCGCAGGGAAGGCAAGACGGACATATAACCAGGCTACGATTGGTACAATTAGTATTGGAACTCTGCGCTGGCTGCTGAAAATGGGGACGGAGCGCATATGGAAATGCCTCGAGTGATGTAATGTCAATTCTTTACTCAACTCAACAGCAAAGAATGCTAAACAGAAGAAACAATCAACCTGTGTCGCCATTGGTTAAAATTGCGGTGGGTATATGCTTCTTCCGGTGAAAGTCAAGCACACTGGCAGGGCTGCCAATTCTTGTGTTTCCCCCAAGATCTGGGTTTTTATTTGTAGCCTTGGGTTTAGATTTTAGAATGTTTATTTTTTTAATATATCTTAATACAAAGTTTGTAAATGTTTCGTTTCGTAACTATACAGTTTTAACTTTTTATCAATGTTAGGGTTTTGTTTTTGGTTCATTGCTTGTGTATTGCTTGGGTTTATTGGTCTGCTTAGCTTGGGTTTTGATAAAAATCCAGTGTTGCCACTTTGGATATTTCACATCCAGATTTAGATGTTTCCCCTCGCATTTAGATCTCGTTTTTGACGTTAAATGGTAGATGTTTTTCTAGATGTTTTTTGTCTGGCGTGAATTTATCAAATCTAACATAAGAAACAGAATAAAATTTGACCTCTTAAATGCTATCTTGACAATAAATTTCGGCCTGATAAGAGTAAGAAAATGCTGTTCCACTTATCAGCTCCCTGATTGTTTATTAAAAGAAATTGGAGCAGCTACAGCATACCAGAGTCATTTTGGATCTGAAGCTTCAACTTCATCATCGACGCTAAGTTTAATCCTGTGGATCTTGTAAGGCAGACCAGTAAAGATGAGGACATGATTCTATAGGGTGCCATATCAATAGCTATGTAATATGTAACTTTCCATTTGGATCTTTTTTTTCTAGATGTTTTCCAAGCAAATTTGATATTTTTAGATATTTTTTTGACTCCGTTTTGGATATTTTTTGACTCCGTTTTGGATATTTTTTGTCAAAGAAAAGTGGCACTGTAAAAATCCCATTGGCATTGGCAGACCTGCCCGGCGATCAGTGTTGCCACTTTGGATCGTTTATATCCAAATTTAGATCTTTTTCATTGCATTTAGATACTGTTTTTGACGTTTAGATCGTAAATATTTTTCTAGAATCTTTTCATATGAGTAAGATATTTTATAGATTTTTTTCCTTCATTGTCAATTTAATAATTACCGTGTAAAATTTTTACTACAATATTTTTGTTTTGGTCTGGCAGGTACATTGTGACAATTGCCATTACTTGAACTCTGAACTCTCACTGGGGTCAACGCACAAATATCTGGCAGCCCAGGTACTGATTAATAAAAACGCGCGTAAATCATACTAACTTTGTTTCAACCGTATCCTCACTGTGCTGATTTTGCGTTTCTTTTTTATGTGATTTTAAAAAAAATGCTCACCTTCTTATGTGGCTTTCACTTTGAAAAAACCTTTCAACATGCCAAAAGTAAAGTATGAGCAAAAAATTTGGAAAGAGTGGTTGCATGATGACAAAATTCAAAACTGGGGATATGACCAAAGCTTGTTGTAAGTACTGCAAGTGTGAAATTAAAGCGACAATTCAAAACTCAAAGAGTAGCGCAGAGACTAAAAAAGCATGAAACTGCAGTTTCGTTTAAAGATATTACACCGCTGACATCTGTTTTCAGAACTATACTGATAAATGAATCATCAAAAGTTGAAGTATCAGTCGCAATGTTTTCAATTTGTCACTGCGCAATTTCAAACTGTGACCATTTGATCGATTTGTAAAAAATCTTGGACTAGTTCAATTTGAAAAGTGTGATGTAGAAAGTATAGTTTAGGAACTGAAGGACCTTTTAATCAGCAAACAGTTAGGCTTGAAGAATTTAGCTGTAATTGGTACTGGTAATGCCTCAGTGATGGTTGGTATAAACAATGGCGTTTATGCCAAGTTGAAGAAAGCTAACCCATCGTTAATACTTATAAAATGTATTCGTCATTCATTGCAGCTAGCATTATCACATGCTTCATCTAAATATTTACCAAGGAATTTGGAATAACTTATTGCTGAAACACTTTACTGGTTTCCCAAATCATTTGTCAGACAACAGCAATACCATAAATTATATACAGCCTTGAATGATGGTTCCACACCACCGAAAATTCTGTCAGGTTGCAAATCTAGATGGTTATCAATTTAACCAGCTGTTGAAAGAATTATGAAGCAATGGCTGAAGTCGAAGACACACTTTGAAATAACAAGACAAAGTGAAAAGTGCTACACAGCTGAAATACTATATAGAATGTACAGTGATGAAAATTTTTTTTTCATTCATTCTCTTTTTATAACCTATTCTAATGGAAGTGCAAAAAGTTAATAAACTGTTCGAATCTAAACTTGTTGATAAAGTTAAATTACTTGATGATCTCACCTTGCTATTTCACTCGGTAATAGACTGGTGTTGCCAACTTCTAAAGCTGATTTGTTCACTTGCACTATAGAGAGCTATTTGGCTCCTAAGCCACACCTTGGATATTAAATCGAATCAAAAATTGATGATTTAAAAACAAAAGGACTATTAACAGAGAATGAAGAGAACAACTTAAGAAAACGCTGTCAAGATTTCCCTATCTCATTACTGAAGCAATTGAAGCAGAGACTTCCTGAAAATCTAAATGTTTTGAAAAATATTTCACTTTTTTTCTGTGAGCAACATATTTCAGCCACATAAAAAAACATACCTAAATATTGTACAGTTATGAAATTTTTAGGGGCTACTGATAATAGTGTCGCGGAAGCAGAATATCAGTTAACCAAAATAGTTAGCTGAATGGAAAAAAAAAAAAAAAAGAAAGAAACTAAAGCGTTTTGGAGTGAAGTGAGACAAATTAAAGATGCCTCATCAAACAGTCCATTTTGTAAGCTCTTTAAAGTGTCATGTCTGCCGTGATACTACCCCACTCAAATGCTGACGTAGAAAGAGTTTTCAGTGCTAGGAATTATATCAAATCTAACCTAAAAAACAGGATGAAATTTGACCTCTTAAATGCTATCGTGCCATTAAAATTCGGTCTGATGAGACTAGAGAAATAAGCCTACTGTTCCACTTATAAAGAAATTTGAACAGCTAAAGCATACCAGAGTCATTTTAGATCTGAAGCTTCAACTTCATTATCCAAGCTAAGTTTATCCTGTGGATCTTGTGAGGCAGACATCAGTGAAGGCGAGGACATGATTATGTAGTTGTAAGTCATAACAAAAGCTATGTAATTTTTGACTTTTTCTATTTGGATGTTTTTTCTAGATCTTTTCCACGCAGATTTAGATCTTTTTAGATATTTTTGGACACCGTTTTGGATATTTTTGTTAAAGAAAAGTGGCAACACTGCCGGCGATAGTTCGTTTGTCGTCTGCGTTGTCAATGTCTGCCCGGTTCATCTAGAATTTGTTGTCTAACAGGTCTTTATTTAAAGCAGCCTGCACTTTTGCTTTCATGCAAAATGGAAAACGATATCTTGGATTCTCTCGAGGATCATGGGTATTATGATATTATATGTTTATTGCTTTCAGCACAATAATTTTCCACTTTTACGCAGCGTCCGACCTGACTTGCTGAAGACTTCAGTGAAGTAGATTCAAACTCAGCGACTGTTGGCAGTCGGCGAAACTCAGCAGTTTAACTAATTTTTATGTGAAGTAATATGTCATTGTAATTTTTGTTTATTATGATGGAGAAGATAATTATATGTATATTATTACACAATAATTTTGGGCTCTCCTCCGAACTTTTACCCCCGCGGTATTGCGGCCTGAAATATCCGTTAGGTGCCTAGCAGGCTCTGTATAACGTAACAAATGATCTAACAGGGTCTCAGCGATATGTTACTTGCGGACCTGTTTCTTATTGTTTCTGATTACCTGACAATTCTAAGAGACGCAACACTGCAGACGATAATAGCAGACGACGAAAATAGCCACCGTTGACGCTTTCCATTGTCGCACTGTCTGCCGACGACGACAAACAAATCGCGGCAAATCTAGGATCGGCTCGGACAAACGACACTGATTATGCACCCGCCGACAGTATCCCAACTACGTGCGGCGTGGATAGGGGCGAAACTAGATGGCTAGGACTCACGAGCGGCAGCTACCGCATCTCCTGCAACTTCCTCCAGTTACTTTGCTCGTGAGTCCCAGGCACCTAGTTTAGCCCCCCATCCGCGCCGCGCGTAGCGGCGTGGGGATACACTCGGCGGTGAGTTTAATCGCGTTTTGTATATGCTGACAAGTCAGACATCTTTTTTTTTTAGTTGCGTATTCTTTACAAGACGTTGCAGAACCAACCCCAGCATTTTTTGGCTGTTGTGGTTTTTCTAGGCAAGTTTATGTCCTGTAGTTTGCCATTGCTTTCTGGAGGGTCGGCTTCTCGATACCACTGTCGAAACCAACACAAGGCCCGCAGCTGGGATCGAACCCGGCACCACGGCATTAAAAAGCGCGTTCATAACGCCGAAGCCACAGACGCCGACGTCTGACATCTACCACTGCTAAATTCTCAATCGGAAGAACAGTATTGCTAATCTGCGTAGGAGCGTGCGGTCTATCGCTTTTATCGTCTGTAATGTCTCGAAATTGTCAACGCTCGCTTTTTTCGTCTGCTAGTATCGTGTGCAGAAAACGCTCGACTCGACATTGTCACCGGTCGCTTTTATCGTCTGCTAGTATCGTGTGCAATGTTGCGTCTCGTGACATTGTAAGGTACTCCTAGTTTTGCCGCATTTTGTTCCTCAGCGGGAACTCCGACAAGTCCGTATTTTTAATCGGACTATGCACGGAATGGATATTTCAGGCCGGAATACCGCGGGGGTAGAAGTTCGAAGGAGAGCCAGATTTTGGCTCTCCTCCTAACTTCGACCCGATATTACGGCGGCTTAAAATATCCTTACGGGGCTCAGGCATTTGCAGACTTTCTGCCAAGGAACAAATCGCGGCAAAACTAGGATTACTTGACAATTTCAAGAGATGCAACATTGCAGACGATAGTAGTAGACGATAATAGTGACCGTTGACAATTTTGAGCGTTTCTGCAGACGATAGTAGCAGACCATAATAGCATGCTCAAAACGCAATTAAACTCACTGCCGAGCGTATCCCCCGCGCTGCTACGTGCGGCGCGGATGGAGGGCTAAACTAGGTGCCTGGGACTCACGAGCAAATTAATTGGAGGAAGTTGCAGGAGATGCGGTAGCTGCTGCTCATGATTCCCAGCCATCTAGTTTAGCCCCAATCCACGCCGCTACGCGCGGCGTGGTGAGATGCGGCCGCCAAAATATGTGCCTGTTATTCTGAGAATAGCCCCTTTCCCATTCCCTTCCTGATTTCCCCTTCCACGCAACACGGTCTTTGGCATTTTGTTCCCATGGATCTATCTCTATACCTGTAATGTCTTGCTTACCCACATCTTTATATCCTAGTTGAGGCTGACCTTGACATCTTCCATCCATCGGTAATTCGCCTTGTTTGATATTTTTATTTGCCTGTCCAAGTCCTAGGCAGGTTTCACATTAACTCGTATTTTCTAATTATCTTTAGAAGTTGTTGCTTTAACTAATAAACTTTTAGGCATGATGAAGTTAAAATTATAACACTGTGAGGTAGCATTAATTCAACAGTTAGGTCAGAGTGGGTTAATTTAACACCTTTATGGGGGACATGGAGTTAAGAAAGAAAAGTAGACCTAGTCGGTAGAAACAAGCAAATGCGTGGTGAATTGCTTGGTAATAAAAGAGTTTAAAAAAATCATAATTTCTCATTATACTGTACATTGTAAACCAATCAATACTGCTAAATTTATTAAGTATTCACAAGAGCCAAAATTCCATCAATGTACTATCTACTGAGGCAGTGACGTCTGCGCTGGCTGGGACATGTCTTCCGCATGGAGGGTGGTCGTATTCCAAAGGACCTCCTGTATGGTGAACTGGAAAAAGGAAGTAGACTTACAGGAAGGCGAAAGCTATAAAATAAAGGCATATGTAAACATGACCTGATAGATACCGACACAGGCACAGAGAGTTGGAAAAAAATCAGCTGCGGATCGACTACTATGGCGACAGAAAATGAAAGACGGAGTGTCGCATTTAAAAAAAACCCAAAACGCAGTGTGTAATAGAGAGGAGATGCCAGAGAGAAAATGAGCATCATAGCATGGGAGTATCACAGTCACAGCAGATGCTGTTCCCAAAGCCAGAGGCACATCTCTCTTGGAATTGATGGGCCCATAATTATCATTGTGTTAGGTATTGTTTACTGAATATCAAGATAAAAGTGGTGGCATCATTTTATCTGTGTTACAGCAGCTGTGAGATGCTCTAATGCCCTGATGCCACCTAAATTAAACAAACTGGTGAACAGCGCAGCACATTACTTTCTGAGATAGAGTAGTGTGTGCTGTAATGTGTCACTACATACTTACACCCTTTTCTATCCTTGCGCCTACTTTTGAAGTGCTGAAGACCAGAGAGATGTTGCTTCATGGCAAGACCCCTTCGTGTTAAGGAAAGTCTTCCACTATTAGACCATGAGATTTTTAGACCATTGTTGTCATTGCATGTTTTTAATTCTTCTCAGACGCTCAGCAGCTAATATTTTTGCAGTAATTTTCTCCTTTATTCCTGTTCTTTTCTTGATTTTTTTTCCCCTTCCATATAACATGGTCCATAGCATTCTGTACCCATAAATCTATCTCAGTACTCATGTATTCATGTCCCACTGCCACACATCTTTATACTCTACATTTTCTTCTTCTTCATAGTGCATTCCCTGTGGCGTTGGTAGTCATATCTATCCACAACCTTCTGTCTCGTGTACTTTCAGTCAACCCTGACACATCTATACTATGATGTCAAACTGTCCAGCATCTTTTCTCTCAGTCTCCCTCTCCGCCCCTCCAACTTTCCTACTGTCACGATGTGCTCCAGTTTTCTCCTTTTTATCACATGACCAAAGAAGGTAGATTATCTGTTTCTGATGTGGGCGATCAGTTCCCTTTATGAGTCATTTTCTTCCAAGACATCTTCATTACTCTTTTATCTGTCCAGGGTGTTCTCATCCTTCATCTATAAAACTACATCACCGAAATCTTCTACCCATTAGTACTTTCACCATAAAGTATATCCTTAGGGACTTTACTTTCCTCCAAGCCTTCGAAGACTGAGCATTGAGAAAACTTGTGATATCTTCTCTTCCTAGGGTCTAAGTTTCTGTGATCTTGCCTTGCCACTTAATGCCAAATATAATAAACATTAAGTCTACATCATGTGTGCTGTGTATCGCTTAGACGCTCATCTGTGGATCTGAAACTCTAGGTTTACATCATATGTAACCGTTAAATGCTTCACAGGAAAATGGTAGCGAAATGACACATGTACAGGTAAACAAATGGTATAGTTGTATTGTTGCTATAAGTAGCAGATAGATTTCACTTTTTGCTTTATATCAGGTATACTGGCCCTCTTCTTGATGAACATGCTCTGTCAGAGGCCGCGGAAGCGGGAGCCAAGTCTGTGGCTTTCACACAGCTGGTGGAGTGGCTGGTGACTCAGCTTGCCGCTTTCTGTAGCATTGATGAGAAGGTGTCTGCTATACAAGGTAACTGTGTGCACTGCTAATGAGTGATTGCCATGTTTGTCAGGTTATGTGATAGGTCATGAGTATCCGATATAACAGGTAGTTATAACCTCAAGTCCCTGTGGGGGACTACCTCTTCCATTAGGGGAGGGGGGTGTGGGGGTGAAAAATTGACCCATTGCCTCCCTGTTAAACTTATTGTAAAAGGCGACTCATTAGGGATTTTTCTTCCGAAGTTGGAGCGCATCTGCCTCAAAAAGGTGAGAAATGAACAGTGCATACAGATAAGCTGGAGTTTCTTCTTCTTTTTCTTCTTCTTCTTCTTCTTCTTCTTCTTCTTCTTCTTCTTCTTCTTTTTCTTCTTTTTCTTCTTCTTCTTCTTCTTCTTCTTCTTCTTCTTCTTCTTCTTCTTCTTCTTCTTCTTTTTCCTCTTCTTCTTCTTCTTCTTCTTCTTCTTCTTCTTCTTCTTCTTCTTCTTTGAGTTCACCAGCTGAAAGTTCTTTTTGTTTGTCTATCTGTGGACTTAATTCATATTCTAGATCATGAGTGTTGCGTACACATCAGTTTTATAGATCTGACTTCTATGTATACAGATTTATGGTTCTTGCCTCTCTCGCCATCTGAAAAAGGTTGGAGATCACTGGTTTAATATTATGCATAATTATTTTAACAATTTTTCATTAGATGGTTTTATCATAATAAACATTTGATGTTTGACATAGTTTTAACATTGGCTGTTATGACTTTAAGAAATTGTACTTGCTTTCCTTCTTTGTATTTTTAGGACCAAGTGATTCCGAAAATTTCTTGATGGAACTGAGCGGCTTTCTGCGAGAGTTCTGTAAGTAGTTGTATTGCTTCCGAACAAAGTTTGTGACAAACTAGCATATAAATATAGTGGAGTTTGGCTTGTTTTGATTGAAGTGGTGAAATAAATAATAGCAATTTTTTCCTGAGAATATAACATCGCAACATCCAAATTTGTGTGTGTGTCAAGAAAAATAGAAAACTGAACAAAAAGTATATCAGCAGGCTTCACAATAAACAACAAACAAAGGTGAACGTTGCGGCTATTGAGCCTTTGTCAGCACATAAACAATACCACTCACATACACAGAATCACTGAGCTTAGTATCTCGAAACAGCCAGGTTGATGTCTTGCCAATAGACTGACGAGACACGTGGGATTATTTGTGTGTGTGTTTTATGGAATCTTATTGCCTGGACGTGAGGGTCATTGACTTTTATCATATCTCAAATGGAATCTTATTGCCTGGACATGAGGGTCATTGACTTTTATCATATCCCAAATGGAATCTTATGAGGGTCATTGACTTTTATCATATCCCAAATGGAATCTTATGAGGGTCATTGACTTTTATCATATCCCAAATGGAATCTTATGAGGGTCATTGACTTTTATCATATCCCAAATGGAATCTTATTGCCTGGACATGAGGGTCATTGACTTTTATCATATCCCAAATGGAATCTTATTGCCTGGACATGAGGGTCATTGACTTTTATCATATCCCAAATGGAATCTTATTGCCTGGACATGAGGGTCATTGACTTTTATCATATCCCAAATGGAATCTTATTGCCTGGACATGAGGGTCATTGACTTTTATCATATCTCAAATGGAATCTTATTGCCTGGACATGAGGGTCATTGACTTTTATCATATCTCAAATGGAATCTTATTGCCTGGACGTGAGGGTCATTGAATTTTATCATATCTCAAATGGAATCTTATTGCCTGGACATGAGGGTCATTGACTTTTATCATATCTCAAATGGAATCTTATTGCCTGGACATGAGGGTCATTTACTTTTATCATATCTCAAATGGACAGTGGTACAAAGTGGGGGGAAAGGGGGTTTCTATTTTTTAAACTTTTACCACACTCCATGTGTGCAATGATGGTTTGGAAATAGTGTCTTTTATTTTACTAAATGACCATACCTTTACATTTACACTATTACTGTTGTGAGGGTATGGAAATGGTGTCTTTCACTTTACTAAATAGCCATAACAGCTTTACTCTTACATTGTTAGCAGGGATTTTTGTTTCTAGAAAAAACATGTGATTGTATTCACCGTAAAGTGTCTATTAAAAGGTGGCAGTACTGATCGCAAAGAATCTTTTACATTAACGCTAGGAAGAAAATATCTGTATTTTATAGACCAATCAGCACTTGCTGGGTAATGTGTTCAGCATCATGCCTGCCACCTTTACTTCCCAGGACTTTACCGGGTACCCGTTTAACACTGGGTCAACCTGAGAGCCAAATCATTTTAAAAAAAAGTTTTATCCCACGACCCACGACGGATCTGCAGGTGAGCGTCTGGCTGATTCATCACAGTGACTCCTGCCAGATTTTTAAACAATTCCTGATTAAACTCAATATTGCTGAAACCTTGAGATGAAATAAAATGGTACTGAGTTGATTCTATTAAAATTCTTCTTCTTTTTTGTTCGCTTGAAATAGATCATCTATATCTGCAATGTTGTCTCTAGCATGAGCAACACTGTCTTGTGTAATTCGTCAGTGACCCGTTTGGCCTGGACGGCTGTTTCTCTGTTAAAATATAGATCATTGTCAGTGAACTGTCCTTAAGTAGTTAACAGCCATCAGTTGAGACGGTTTAAGATGATATTGACATTTATTGCAGCCTGCCCTTATGCTAACCTAACCGAAGGACCCATAGAAGGAAGGCTGGCCTCTAGGAAAGCATGTTTACAACTTCTAGGTAATTGAACCTCAATGTTTTCATTGTTTAGGCTGTTTAATTTGTTTTATTATAAGTTACAAGATTCAGGTTTTGTCGATACCATCGTCACGTATAAGCTAACTTTCTTTGTAAGTCACAAGATTCAGATTTTGTGTGTACCATCGTCACGGATAAGCCAACTTTTTTTTGGGGTTCTATTGTAAGTCACAAGATTCAGATTTTGTCTGTACCATTGTCACACATAAGCTAGCTTTTTTTCTGTTCTGTCACAAGATTCAGATTTTGTCTGTATCATTGTCACAGATAAGCTAGCTTTAGTTATATCATCATCATCATCATCATCATCATCAGGTTTGACAGTCTGAAGACTTGTTAACCCTCTTGCTTACAGAAGATTTAAAACTGACACTTCCTGTTTGGTTCAGTTCCCCATAAATGTCACTTTTATGACTTGTCTATAGTGACCTTGACCTGTTTATGAGATGCATAGTTAATTCTCTTCTTCTTCCCATTCAACAACTGTAAACTCTTGCGAAAAGTTCTGGTTGTTCATCAAGTTCTGTTCCAGCACCTGAGTGTTGCATGCACATTCGTTTTATAGATCCGACTCATGTGTGTGCAGACTGTTGGTTCCTTGCCTTTAAGGCAGATACTCTGACTTTGAAAAAATATAGTTAGGTAATAACTATTGGCTGAGTTCGCGCCCGTGCAAACTTGAGTACATTAACTATTAATAGCATGGGGGTGGGGAAGAGGGGGGGTATCCTTTGGGCGAAATAGAATCTGAGAGCCAAGTTGTTGTCAGATTGTATCATAAGCAGGAAAAAAAGGTAAAGTCGGGAGATGTGGACCAGCGTCATTGCACACTGTTATAAACCATAAGTGCTCTGCCACCAGTACGGACAGCTGATAAGAATTGTCCTCCTGTGTCGCCGTTCGCACATAACTCTGTAGCTACAGCGACGTTCCTCCATTTACCCCAGAGTATGACTCTTGTACCCATTTCCTAGAGGCTGGGTGAACCCCGGGAGCCGCCCGGTTTCGAACACCGACCGTGGGCTGCAGCGAGTCGCAGCTGGATTTAAAAGTGAGCCTCTTATCAACTGTGCTAACCCGGCCCCCGTCATAAGCAGTAATAAACATCACAGGGTAATGGCATGAGTCGCCCAGAATGTGTGGGGGGATGTATTCCATTTAATCCTTTATGCTATTCATGTTTTATTGATTACTCTGGTCATCATTTTTATATTAAAATAATTTTAAGAAACATAAATACATTTTTAACGAATTTATTAGTAACTCATTTAACAATTGTTGGTCATGGTTTTTTTTAAAAAGTGTTCCCAGGGTGAAAGGGTTAAAGCCACATGACCATATCTGTCCACTCTTACTTGTTCTCAGCAATTCTTTTTATCTCGTCACAAGTCTGAGTTCCAGTTAGTCAGGCTCAGCAATGTTAGGCATGGCAACTAGATTTGGTCGAGGTAGCAGTTGAAAACAGTGTTCCATTAGTCTGGGGAGAAGTGCACTGTCATGTCATAGTTGGACATACTCAGCACACTCAACTAATATCTTTGCATATTTTTGTAACTTGGGTGACATTGGAATCATGCAGCGATATATGCAGTATATGGCTGCTATAGATGTGTTGGATTTAAGAGTTCCAAAAATCTGCTCTAGAAACAGTTTGAAGACACCCTGCTGGTCCCAGCTGAGATAAAAAGATCAAATTATAAATACAAAGTTATACCGACATTAGTTATCAATGTCATACTTGGACATTACACAAAAGAACATGAGAGAAGACTAACCACCTGTGAAATGAGATCTTTTCTGGCTGCTGAAAACCAGAAGAGATCGAGTGAGAAACGATTTGATTACAAGAACTATTGTACCCATCGTTAAAATTTATTCAAAGAATGAAATGGTTTGGTCACCTAGTGAGAATGGAACCAACGATGCCAGCATCAAGAGCATACAACATGAAAATCGAACAACAAGAGGCAGGGGAAGACCAAGAAGAAGATGGATTGAAGGAGTCACGGACAACTTGAGACTTCATAACATCACGGCATATGAAGCGACTGAGCGCGCCCTGGCTCGGTTGCCGATCATCTGATAGACTGCAACGCCTAGCGGCACAAGCAGATTTTGACAAAAGAAGAAGAAGAAGAAGATATTTCATGAGTCGTCCTCTGTGGCTTAGACGTTGCAAATGCACTTTGTAATGCTGAGGTGCTGGGTTCAATCCTAGCTGTCGGCACTATGGCCGCACACCGCCTTGCATTGGTTTTACTAGTGGTTATCAAGAGCTGACAGTTCAGTAAGTTATGGCAACTTACTGATCGTAAAATGGCTTAATTAAATCACAGACAGAAAATACTGGTGTTGGTCTGCAATCTTCTGTAAAATTTTCAAAATATATTTCTATACACACATACATGTACATGTATGAGGAAAGTAATTATTTTAATTTGATGATTATTACTTGGATCCTGTTTAATCAAATTGTCTTTAGATTACTTGTTGGCTGAACTGGCAAGTGTGAAGATGATCGCGGTTAAAAACCCGGCCCTCCTGACCTCATCCAAGACCTCCACAGACATAACAGTGCCAGTAAGTCAAACTAGCAAAAAGCGTAACTAAAACTTAACTCTTTCCGTCGCTAACTCTTTCTGACCCTAGCAACACAGCATGTGTAATAAACTTGTTCTCATAAGATGTTCTGTTGTTTTTAGCATTTGATCTTAGAATATTAAAGAAATCTGGCAGTCAGTTGCTTCTTTAACAGTTTTGTACTTGTGTGTTTTTTTAAATTATTATTTCTCTCCTTAAGCTACTGCTGTGAAAAGTTCTGGGACCGAAAGATTTAATGTCTTTCATAATGGCTGTAGCTTGTCCGAACACATAAGGGTGAGATTTATGTTAGTTAGTCGACAGATATCCTCATTGCACACCAAAGCGTTCAGTCCATAAGTGCTCAGATCCCCTCCTCAGTCAATTCCACACTGTGTAGCAGCTAACGACATCAGTTCTGTGTTGGTTTCTTCATCTTCATTGGCTTCCCACATATTATTCTTGTTTGGCCACACCCGTTTGAACTTGCTGTTCTTGCAGTCATGTCATGGTTGCGGAGTCACAGTCACTTGGTTCTCACAGGCGTCTTACTCGTATCCCTGTCTAGGCTAACATAGGGAGGGGGGTAAGGGGGAGGTACTACACCGCAGTAGCTCCTTCTATCCGGAGTGCTGTGATGATAATCTTATAATCACTAAACATCTTACTTCCCGCAGAGCATTCAACTTTGTCCATGGCGTGTCCACCCTTGTGAGATGCATACCATGCAGCAAGAGATCGTATCTTCTTCTTCTTCTTTCGCTCGCTTGAAAAAGATTATCTATATCTGCAGTGTTATCTCTTATATGAACTTAACTGTCTGTTGTAATTAACTCAGCAACCCATAAAGTTTAGCACGCACCACTTTTTTTTTTTTTTTTGGGTCAAGAAATTTTGCCTTGATATATTGTATTTGGGACAGTCTTGGAGGACGTGATCTGTTGTCTCGGGTACCAGTCCACATGTGCACATGGCTGATTGTAAAACAAGAGACAGTCTGATTTGTGTATACCCATGTTTTTCTTGGCCAGAAATTCTGCTTTGATATGTTGTATTTGGGACAGTCTTGGAGGACATGATCTGTTGTCTTAAGTACCAGTCCACATGTGCACACGGCCAATTGGCCGATTGTAAAACAAGAGACAGTCTGATTTGTGTATCCCCATGTTATTATTAAAGTGATAACATTGCGTTTAAATGCTAGGACTGTGTCTGCTCTCCTGATACCTCGAGTATTTCTGCTCTTTGGTTTTTTCTTCTTTCAGTTAGTTCTTTCTTTTGCTTTCTCTGCATAAATGTAGTGGCATTATTGTAACTTTGTGATTTACTTACTTACTTGGCCGCTGCTCTTCTACCTTGGGGTGTAGAGGTTTGCCAGAGAGATTGCCAGACGTCTCTATCAGAAGTTTTTTTTCTGGCTTTGTTCCATTCCACTCCTCTGTCAGTTAGGGACTGTCGGATGTTGTCTTTCCAGCGCACCCAGGGTCGCCATGGAGGTCTGGTTCCCTGCTTCTTAGCCTCCAATGCCTGCCATGGTGATCGATGTTCTCCCATTCTGCAGACATGTCCAAACCATTGTAACTGTGACTGATCCACTTGGCTTTGTAAGGACTGGGTATCAAGATCTTGACGTATTGTCTGATTGCTGACTTTGTCCCTTCTTGTCACTTGGACCACCTTTCTCAGATATCTCATTTCTGAGGCCTGAAGCTGTTTGTGATTTATAATTTTCTTTTTCTTTCTGTGCTGGTGAATTTGATTTTGTTTCTCACATAAATGTTAGTACAGGATTTTATTGTGAAACATCAACAGTCTTCTTCTTCTTCTTCTTCTTCTTCTTCTTCTTCTTCTTCTTCTTCTTCTTCTTCTTCTTCTTCTTCTTCTTCTTCTTCTTCTCCTCCTCCTCCTCCTCCTCCTCCTCCTTCTTCTTCTTCTTCTTCTTCTTCTTCTTCTTCTTCTTCTTCTTCTTCTTGTTCTTGTTCTTCTTCTTCTTCTTCTCCTCCTCCTCCTCCTCCTCCTCCTCCTCCTCCTCCTCTTCTTCTTCTTCTTCTTCTTGTTCTTCTTCTTCTTCTTCTCCTCCTCCTCCTCCTCCTCCTCCTTCTTCTTCTTCTTCTTCTTCTTCTTCTTCTTCTTCTTCTTCTTCTTCTTCTTCTTCTTCTTCTTCTTCTTCTTCTTCTTCTTCTTCTTCTTCTGCTTCTTCTTCTTCTGCTTCTTCTGCTGCTGCTGTTGCTGCTGCTGCTGCTGCTGCTGCTGCTGCTGCTCCTCCTCCTCCTTCTCCTCCTACTCCTTCTCCTGCTCCTCCTTCTCCTCCTTCTTCTTCTTTTTTCTTCTTCCTCTTCTCCTCTTCCTCCAGTTCCTCTTCCGCTTCTTCTTCTTCTGCTGCTGCTGTTGCTGTTTGCCTTTAAAATGTGGTTGGCATATTTTGCTGTGGATTACAGCTAGGCTGTAATATCTGTGCCTTTCGGCCCAACACATCCGATTTCAGCAAATCTATAATTATTCGCCTTTTAAGGCAATGTAATAATTACTTGATTTAATTGTTTGCGTATGTATACTTTATATTTTCTTTGTCAGGCAGGATAAAATACACTGTTTGAAGCTGTTTCATGCTTCTAACAGAGCAGGACTTTTTTTTCCCAGGTCAACCCAGTCTTTAATGGGTACCAGATAAAGTATTTTGAAGTGAAGGCGTCCGGCGTGATGTTGACCAGATTACCCATACAGTATTGATTGGTCTATTAAATTTAGGTCTAGCTTTATGTGTCCAGTACTCCTTGTATGGATTCTGGGGCCCCATTGTGGGAAAAACAAGAATAGACCCACTGCCTTCCGAACAAGCATGTTGTTTGAGTTGACTCATTGGGAGCTTCCTTCAAAGTCGAAATGCATCTGCCCGAGCAGCAAGGAATAATCAGCTCACACAAATAAGCCAGTAAAACATATGTACGTACAAAAGTCAGGCCCTGGCACAAAGCCAAAGTCTAAATGGATGAATGAGGACTTTTCGCCGGAGCTAACAGCCGAAGAACGAAGAAGAAGGTATGGCCAATACACCTGATGGCGAGGGGAAAAGGTTCCTTTCTACTTTTGAAGCTGTTTCAATGCATTGTTCTCTATTTCTCAGACAGAAAGTGATGTGGCCAGACATATGAGACTTATGTTGATGGCTTTGAAAATTCCCAAGCCTTCCCCAAACATCACAGCTTTCGAAATTTTCAGCCAAGTAGAGAGCAAAGTAAGTTTATTGCTGACATATTTAGACATTTATTTCATTAAATTATTCATTTTATCACTTCAGCTTCACTTACTTTACATATACCTTTTTTCATATTTGTTATGATTATTGAATTACTCATCCTTCTTTCAATGTTTTATTTTTCATGTATTTCATTTAAATCTGTCCTTATGGCCATAGTTGTTGACTCCTTTTCATCTTTCAAATGATAGTGTTCCATTGTGCTATTGAGAGGCAATTAAAATGACTGAATACTATGGCAGTACCAGTTAAGTCTAGGAATGAAGGTCCTCTTCTCTGTAGTACAATGTTGTGGAGACTGTGTTGCCCATGCAGCTTGATCCTTTCTTGGCCCGCTTGATTTACTCCAAGACAGCAATATATTTAGAGAAAAGCATGCTGCAGCATGTTTCTGTCCGATGTGGGAGCTTCTCTCCTAGAGGAACTGCCAGATCAGTGCTGTGTCTCTCCGCTGTGGGAACTTCCCTCCTGGAGCAGCTGCCAGATCAGTGCTGTGTCTGACCACTGTCTGAGCTTCCCTCCTGGAGCAGCTGTCAGATCAGTGCTGTGTCTGTCCTCTGTGGGAGCTTCCCTCCTGGAGCAGCTGCCAGATAAGTGCTGTGTCTGTCGGCTGTAGAAGCTTCCCTCCTGGAGCAGCTGCCAGATAAGTGCTGTGTCTGACGGCTGTAGAAGCTTCCCTCCTGTAGCAGCTGTCAGATCAGTGCTGTGTCTGTCCTCTGTGGGAGCTTCCCTCCTGGAGCAGCTGTCAGATAAGTGCTGTGTCTGTCGGCTGTAGAAGCTTCCCTCCTGGAGCAGCTGCCAGATAAGTGCTGTGTCTGTCGGCTGTAGAAGCTTCCCTCCTGGAGTAGCTGCCAGATAAGTGCTGTGTCTGACGGCTGTAGAAGCTTCCCTCCTGGAGCAGCTGCCAGATAAGTGCTGTGTCTGACGGCTGTAGAAGCTTCCCTCCTGGAGCAGCGGCCAGATCAGTGCTGTGTCTGTCGGCTGTAGAAGCTTCCCTCCTGGAGCAGCTGCCAGATAAGTGCTGTGTCTGACGGCTGTAGAAGCTTCCCTCCTGGAGCAGCTGTCAGATCAGTGCTGTGTCTGTCCTCTGTGGGAGCTTCCCTCCTGGAGCAGCTGCCAGATAAGTGCTGTGTCTGTCGGCTGTAGAAGCTTCCCTCCTGGAGCAGCTGCCAGATAAGTGCTGTGTCTGTCGGCTGTAGAAGCTTCCCTCCTGGAGCAGCTGCCAGATAAGTGCTGTGTCTGACGGCTGTAGAAGCTTCCCTCCTGGAACAGCTGTCAGATCAGTGCTGTGTCTGTCCTCTGTGGGAGCTTCCCTCCTGGAGCAGCTGCCAGATAAGTGCTGTGTCTGTCGGCTGTAGAAGCTTCCCTCCTGGAGCAGCTGCCAGATAAGTGCTGTGTCTGTCGGCTGTAGAAGCTTCCCTCCTGGAGCAGCTGCCAGATAAGTGCTGTGTCTGACGGCTGTAGAAGCTTCCCTCCTGGAGCAGCTGCCAGATAAGTGCTGTGTCTGACGGCTGTAGAAGCTTCCCTCCTGGAGCAGCGGCCAGATCAGTGCTGTGTCTGTCGGCTGTAGAAGCTTCCCTCCTGGAGCAGCTGCCAGATAAGTGCTGTGTCTGACGGCTGTAGAAGCTTCCCTCCTGGAGCAGCTGCCAGATAAGTGCTGTGTCTGACGGCTGTAGAAGCTTCCCTCCTGGAGCAGCTGTCAGATCAGTGCTGTGTCTGTCCTCTGTGGGAGCTTCCCTCCTGGAGCAGCTGCCAGATAAGTGCTGTGTCTGTCGGCTGTAGAAGCTTCCCTCCTGGAGCAGCTGCCAGATAAGTGCTGTGTCTGACGGCTGTAGAAGCTTCCCTCCTGGAGCAGCTGTCAGATCAGTGCTGTGTCTGTCCTCTGTGGAAGCTTCCCTCCTGGAGCAGCGGCCAGATCAGTGCTGTGTCTGTCCTCTGTGGGAGCTTCCCTTCTCAAGCAGCTGCCAGATCAGTGCTGTGTCTGACCGCTGTCTGAGCTTCCCTCCTGGAGCAGCTGCCAACCAAGGCTAAAGGTCAGTCAGTGTAACTGGATGGAATTAGGCTTAGGTTGGTAATGTCAGATTTAGGTATTTTATTATAAATAGGCACTGCCAAATGCCATAAATGCCATTTGTAATTTCAGTTTGCTTATACATTTTTATTTTAATGGTGCAAATTCTTGTCACAGTTGAAAGAACTGATGTCAAAGTATCCGGATCAAGTCGGAAAGCCATTGCTGAAAGCAAGACTGTCAGAAAAGCAGTGGGCTCAAGTACTAGCAATAAATGAGGTACTTTCGGAGGAATACAGAATCAGGCGAGAAATGTTGCTGAAGAGGCTGGATGTTACAATCCAGTCATTCATGTGGTCAGACAAAGCTAAGGTCAGTTGAAATATTCTTCTGCATCTTCCTTGTGTTCTCAGTTAGTGATCCTGAAGCAGTTAGTGCTCATCAGGGCTGATGGTTTCATGTACTTACTTGCACATAAAAGTAAGTAAAGTTCTCTCTTCCACACCTTTTGGCGTATTGGAAATATAGGGCTAAAACTATACTTTTATTGACCAGTTGGCACTTAGTGGCTAATGTAGTCAGCATCATACCAGCCGCCTTTACTTCCCATGACTGCACCTGGTACCAACTCAAGGCTGGGTTGACCTGCGACAAGGTCATTTTTACACATAAAAAAGCAGCTGGTAAACGTGCTATTTGTACCAACTTTATGCTATCAGTGCCAGACAAAGACAGTCTTAGAAAAAACATAATTGCAAAACCACATCAGAGATGAGATGTATAAGAAATGTACTGGGAAAAACAAGAAAAGACAGAGTCACCAATTAAAAACTAAGAATAATAGTAGGCACAGTACCGGTGAATGATTTCATAGAACATCACAGAATCAAATAGTTTGGTTGTCTGGTCAGAATGGAACAAAATCAACCAGCAGCTATAGAAAACTACATGAGAACAGCAGGCTAGTAGCAAGAGGCCAACCAAAAAAGATATGGGTGGAGGGAGTAAATGAAACACTACAGAAACGCAGTGTGACATTAATAAAGCTTTGCTTCTAATCAAAGACAGGAAACTGCATGTATTATTCCTCTCTACGACGCTTTACGGCACAACCTGTAGGAGGGAAGAAAGAAGGCATTGGTAGGGTAATAAATAACTCAATATGGAAACAGTTGCACATGATAGAATCTGTAGAAGAATAGAAGAATAAAAAGCTGTGAGCGCTGTGGAATGTATAAAGGTGCAATATGAGAATGAGGAAGTAGTTTTCAAAGCTGTATGGCCCCCTGGGTTGTTCGTCCATCATTAGCGATGAAAACCACCTTTCATCCAAAGTAGTAATGGTCAATGATTATGAGTACAAAGGTGGCTGATTAGTCCAGTATGTACCTGGAAAGTTCTTAAGCAGTGAGGACAACAGATGGAGGCCGCAGTAAGTGTGGTATTAGCAAGAGGTTTTTTTTTCTTCTAGTCTGCCTCTGTTTCTCTGCCTGTGCAACCTCCGCTGCCTGGCAGGCTGATGCACCATGCCTGAGGGATGTACGCCATCCAGAACAGTCCTGTGCAGCAGCCTCCCACATCGCTCTATTGATACCAGAAAAAGAGAGCAGTTTGAGTGTGTCCTTATAGCGCTTCTCTGTCCTCCTTTAGGAGGCAATAGTCTAGCATGCGGGCTAGGTTACCAGCCCAATGCTGCTGATAATTCTTCAGTATCATGTGGATGCTAGGCAGGTTTGCCCTGTCAAGAACCACAGTATTTGGGATCCTTTCTTGCCATATGATCCCCTAGTTAGCCGAATTAGTAATCATGGAAATGAGGTGTCTGAGAAAGACTGTAGGAGTGACCAGAAGAGATAAAATCAGCAGTGAGGTTATACGAGATAAAGTCGGCACAAAACCAATTCTAAATTACATACTAAGACAGCAAATCAAATGGATTTAAACCTGACTGACTGATGTCACTTCCATCACTGAGACTTGCTGAAAAATTTGACAGTAGCTTGGCTTTAAAATGCTATTTGGTTTGGTTCACCCTAATTGCATTTTTCTTCTTCTTCTTCTTCTTCTTCTTCTTCTTCTTCTTCTTCTTCTTCTTCTTCTTCTTCTTCTTCTTCTTCTTCTTCTTCTTCTTCTTCTTCACGTTCACCAGCTGTAAACTCTGGCAGAAAGTTCTGGTTGTTTATCCACTTTTGGACTTCAGTCCTGTTCCAGAACGTGAGTTTTGCGTGTGCATCCATTTTACAGATCTGACTGATTTGTATGCAGACTGCTGGTTCCTTGCCTCTCAGGCAAATGCACTCCGACTTTGAAAAAAAGCTCCCATTTAGTTGGCTCTTACGACATGCTTTTGGGTAAGGCAGTGGGTCTATTCTTGTTTTCCCTATAATAGGGCCCCGGAACCCACACGAGGAATTGCATTTTTAACTAATATGTTCATATCATACACACCTAAATCTTAGCGCAGGCGCGTACTCGGTTATATTAACTATGCATCTCATAAACACGTCACTGCAAACAAATCGAAAACAATGATGCTGATGGGAGATTTACCCAGCCGGAAAGATGGTTCGTGGCATTTCGTAGTAACAGGGTTAATATGTGTTACTCATCGTGTGGGTTCTAGACCCCCCTTATGATGAAGGGGGGGGGGGGGGAGAGTTAGACTAGGCTTTCCTTTTAACAGGTATCTGCCTGAGAGGCATGGAACCAACAGTCTGCATATTCATAAGCCAGATCTGTAAACTCATGTTACGGAGCAAGACCACAATCCAGAAGTGGAAGAGCAACTGGGACTTTCAGCCCCAGTTTACAGTCAGTGAACACAAGGAAGAAGAAATGTGAAGTGTTATGTAAAGAAATGTGCGTGTTCTGCTAGTTATAAAATGTGCATAACATGTAAGCGTAACACAAGGCACCTTTCATCGTCCCCACAGAAAAATGAGAACAAAATAGCTGAGGTTTACCAACCAATCAGGAGAACCTTAGTGGCAAAGACAAATGTTGATGTACCACAAATACTTGCCGCAAGAGATGGTAAGTTTACAGTGTATAGTCAGTAGTATGTATAATCATCATCAAGTGCATTGCCATATGATATGAGTGATATCAGGATACTTAATTGTCTTGATAAAAGTGTTGATACTCAATGTCTTTATAAAAGTACAGATACTCTTTACTTTATAAAAGTGTTGATACTCATTGTCTTTATAAAAGAACAGATACTCTTTACTTTATAAAAGTGTTGAATTCATTGTCTTTATAAAAGTACAGATACTCTTTACTTTATAAAAGTGTTGATACTCATTGTCTTTATAAAAGAACAGATACTCTTTACTTTATAAAAGTGTTGATATTCATTGTCTTTATAAAAGTACAGATACTCTTTACTTTATAAAAATGTTGATTCTCATTGTCTTTATAAAAGTACAGATACTCTCTACTTTATTAAAATGTTGATACTCATTGTCTTTATAAATGCATTGATACTCATTTTCTTTATATAAGTGTTGATACTCATTGTCTTTATAAAAGTAGCGATACTCATTGTCTTTATAAAAGTGTCGATACTCATTGTCTTTTAAAGGTGTTGATACTCATTGCACAGTGTTGTTATTATAGCAAGAAAACAGTTATGTCTCACGAAAGGTGCTGGTACTGCGTAAGCCAGAAAAGTTGTATCCATTTATGTCCTGATACTTATATATGCAATTTGAAATGACAGTGTAGAATCTTCTCCCTGCTATCTTGTGTCTGTTTATTCATACATGTTATCAGTTGTTGATACCTGTGTCCCTTTCTTCTTTTCTCATAATGTGCTTCTCTCCCCCCCCCCCCATTATTGTTGCTTCTTTCTGATATGTATGGTATTTTATTCGTGTCTCGTTTTGGCTGGCTAAGCTATTTAGAACATACTGTCAAAGCACAGTTTAAAGTGATATTGTGTTTATTCCTGTTAATTGTCCACGATTCAAGGCCGTAAATGAAAATTAGTTCAGTGTAATACAGTCTAGTCTGGATAAGTAGAAGTCGCAGGGACCTAAGAAAATGCTTAGGACTTCTACTTATCCAGACAACACACAGAGTAGAGAATGTACACTAAAACCGATCAGTAGCATTGAGTAAAACAATTATACCAGTTAGGAAACACCATAATTTAACAAATAAATAGCAATAGAATATCAGAAATGTTGAAATCTTTAATTATTTTAGAAGGTAAAACATTAAAACCATATGGGAATTCAGACATTAATTAAAGGAAAATTCTATGATTTTTACTTAGCTTTTTGTACTGTGAAAAAATGTCTTCCCATGGCATGTGTAACAAATGGTGAGATTACATCATCTGAGCACCCAGTCTGCATCATGTAAATGTTAATTGTGTCCACGTCTGCCAAAACATCTGACTGTGATACAGGTACAGAGTAATATTTAGCTAAAGCAGGTTTAATCACTTCTGTCCATGAATTAGTTAGTGTTGCTCCATCAACAGATTGTTTCTCTCCACACACACTCTTGTATATTATGCAATGGCATAATATGAGCCATTTTAAAAGGGCAGCTTCAACAAAATCGCATGATGCTGTTTTAGCTCGCTGTCTTGTCACTGTTGATTTTGCACTCGAAAAACAATGTTCTGTAGCGTTCCTTTGCTTTAAAAATGCCAGAAAGGGTCGAACTTGGAATACCATATTCCCTAGCTATATCCACTTTCTTCCCGCTATGTTCAACCTCTTCCAACAGTTCAATCTTTCTTTTTAAAGTTAAAGTAGTCAGCATTCGACCGCTAGCCGCCATTGTTAATACTGTATGTAGTGAGATATCATAGCTGCAAGATTTTACGTTATTTCCTGGGCTAACTAAAGAAAAAATTTTCTTTCGTTGTGATAATAAACAGTTTGACTTAAACAGGTATGTGTATATAGTCGGAATTTTTTTTTAGATTCCACTTATCCAAATATTTGAGGTAATCAAATTCGACTTATCAAGATTTTAAATAATAGATAAAGAAGGAAAATTGACGGGAGTAAGCTGGCCATGTCGACTAAAACCAAATTCGACTTATCCGAGTTCGACTTAAGTGGACTCGACTGTATACAATCATTCTTTTTCTCCCAGTGACATATTTCATATATAGCATTAAACTGTTTTCCTATTCTTCATTTCTTCTTCTTCTGCCTTTCTATCCCCCAATGGAGCATAGGCCCTCAACCAACTCACATCAAGTCGTTCTATCCTTCACCATTGCATGGAGCTCTCCCCATGTCCTCCCAATCTTTCTAACCTCATTCTCCAGCTCTCTTCTCCATGTGTTTTTTGGCCTTCCTTTATTCCAATGCCCCTGTGGGTTCCAATGCAAAGAAATTCTAGTTATGCTGTTGTCCTGTTTTCTCAGTGTGTGCCCTATCCAACGCCAGCGTCTTTTCCTCACCTCCTGATCCACTGGAGCCTGTTTAGTTCTCTCCCAAAGTTCTATATTAGTTATTCTATCATACCATTTTATTCCCTCTATTCTGTGCAGGCACCAGTTAATGAATGTCTGTCTGTAATTTATTTGTAATTGCCTTGGTTGTTCTCCATGTTTCCGCCCCATACAATAGTACTGATTTGACATTAGAATTAAAAAATTTTTAGTTTAGTATTTCTTTTAATTTCTTTTGACCTCCACAAATTCCCTAGTGCTATGAAAGCCCCTCTTGCCTTTTGTATTCTTATTTTAATATCTCTATCAGTTCCTCCATCTTTATCTACATTACTGCCTAAATAGGTGTACGACTCCACGTCTTGGAGTGGGGTGCCATTAAGAGAAACCACATTACTATTTGCCTGATTTATAATGCTTCTCTTTTTGACATCCATGGTTGGTTGGTTTTTGTGGCTATGGTTTTTACAGGATGAGGTAGCCAACCTCAAGCCCAACCCTACCCTTAGTCGCCTCTTACAACATGCATGGTAGGGTGCAGTGTCACTATTCTTTGCTTCCCGTGAGGGCCCCGGTGACACTCGGGCGATTCTTCATTTAGCAAACATAAAATATGCTTTTACTTAATCTTTCTTTATGATCCCCAATAATATACAACCAGTTTTCTCTAGTGTTCATTGTGGATTCATTTGATTAACTAGTATAATAGTTTTGCTATCAAATAAACAGTTCTCATCTGTGTGTTCCAGAGGCCCTTTTTTTTTTTTTTTTGGGCGGGGCGGATAGGCCCATTGCTTCCAGTGAGCTCATGTCGTTAAAAAAAAAAAACACTTTAGGGGTATTTCCTTTGAAGTTGGAGTGCATCTGCCTGAGAAGCAAGGAACCGACAGATAAACCATATCTGTAAACATGGATGTGCACACAACACTCAGGCTCTAGAATGAGACTTAAGTCCAGAAGTGGATGAACAACCAAAACTTTCCTCCAGTATTTACAGCCATTAAACATAAGGAAGAAGAAGAAGAAGACAAAAGAGAAATTTAACTGTTTTTTGTTGTTGTTATGTTTTGTTATTCTGTGTTTTGTTTATCTCTGTGTGTTGTGTTTATCTATGTATTTTGTTTATCTCTGCATTCAGACTTGACGAGGATACAGAAGACCAGCAGTGGTGAGGCCAGGGAGAAGACAAAGTGTGCAATAAACAGAGTACTCATTGGACAGGTATGTGCTCCTACCTTCTGGGTGAAAGCAGGGTTCTATCTTAATATCTCCCCCAAAAACAGTCAGTCGAATATTTTAGGGTGTGTTAGATAGACAGTTGTGGGATCTAGGCTGCATACAGTCGTGGGATCTAGGCTGCATGCAATCGTGGGATCTAGGCTGCATACAGTCGTGGGATCTAGGCTGCATACAGCCCAGTTCTAGATAGTTGCATGCAGTATTTAAATCTAGGCTGCAGAAAGCAGCAAACACGCTCTTAACACCCTAAAAAATATTAGACTATCCTGTGACGTCATCCTGGGGGGGGGGATTTTGGGAAAGCACCGAAAGCATTTGTATATATATGTCAGTCGCTGGACGGCCACTTATAGCCAATTTTTTGTCTATCTCACCTACAACAAATGAACAGACATTAGGCTCTCAGGCCCATCTAACACTCTACCCTTCTGGTCTCTATTCTTTGATTTATTATTTCATTCATACATATTTTAATGTTATAATAAACATACTCAACAACAACAACAACAACAACTAAATAAGCAATAATAAATATCAAAATCTGTTTAAATCACCAATGATCACTAGCACGATGAGAGCTAATAGACTGAAATAGTTGGGGCATGTTAAAAGAATGTCAGAGACAGAGAAGTAAAAACTGTATACACGAAGGAGATGAATGGTCGTAGACCACGAGGCAGACCATGAAGACAATGGAGAGATAATGTCCAGACAGACATGCAAACACTTGGTGTCACCAACTGGAAAGAGAAGGCCAACCAGAGAGATGGATGGAGGCGGGTGAAATCTGCAGCAATGAACCTCAAGGGCTCAGAATGCTGAAGAAGCAGAAGAACAACAACTAAATATTAATCACAAATGCTAGAGTGTGCTGGACTGTATCTAACATTTCTAAATGAGAAATGATTTTAGTAATGATTTGTATGTGTCTAGGAGAGACAGGCCGTATGCTTAGAGTTGAGTGGAGGTGGTAGATATGATCATTGTTCACAAATCGACATCTATTACATCGGGGCAGCCCAGTTGTCTATTGTATCAGTTGGATAACTCATCTTTTGGAAATTGTACACCCTTTTCCTGGCATTTTGACTGCTCGAAATCTTTTGAAGTCTGAGTGCATCTGTCTGAGAGGCGAGGTATCAACAATCTGCACACAAATAATCCAGATCTGTAAAACTGATGCGCCTGCTAACCTCAAGTTGTGGGGCGAGAGCAAAGCCTGGACATAAACAAACCACTTGGACTTTTCGCCACAGGTCACACTCAGTAGATACAGACGAAGTGCCCCTGTGTATTTGTTAGTACATATGTAAATGCAGCCAATATTTATGAGGTAAAATATTTACTTGTGATTGATTCTAGAGAGATACTTCAGTAGTATGTATGTGATATATTCTTGCTCAGCTGACTTTGCAGTTGTGGATGGTTATGTTATCATAGATTATATCACAGAACTTTGGGCTTCGGCATTTCCTTGCATGCTCAGTCCTCCCATGCAGCAGCCACTCCAAGATACCTCTACTGATTGTTCTTGGCCCGGAAGTTGGCATAAATGTTGATAGTTAAAGTTAAGAGGATCAACTTAATTGCACCGAGTTTTATCCCATGTGGCTCGGTCTCTCTCTGCAGATTGGCTAGCTGCCTGCAGAGAGCACAGCACAGAGCACTAACTCCGTAGCTCTGGTGATGATCTCCAGGGATCTGTGTAAAAATTACACTCGTGAACTGAATGAGGCAGCCTTGAAACAAACCCACGACTTTCAGAGCACGAGGCAAATGGCTTGACCACTTCTCCACGGATACCCTCAGAGATGTGCTTCACCATGCTTTACTCCGACGTCAAGCAGTCATGTTGGTGTCCGAGATTTGTCATTATCCACTAACCTAGTCCGTACAGAGTTAATGATATCTACTCTGTCCATGCATGGATGGTGCAGCAGAAAGACACACTTAGATCTGGGTACAGGCTTATCAGTATTGGCCTAGGAGAGGGGACTAGTAGTCTGATCAACACTCAGCACGCAGAAGGAAAGAAAAGACGCTTAAGATTAGAACTCTGCACTAAACGTTTGGAATTGGAACTCTGCACTGACTGCTGAAGTTGGGGATAAAGCACTCATGGGAATGTCCTGAATGCTGTGGTGTTGGATGTCAGCTTTATGTCAAAGTGTGCCTGTGTTTGTGTATATACTAGTCCATAAACAGCAACATTATACCAGCATTGTGTTTTTCTCAAATTCAGGTACCAGACAGAGGGGGCCGAGCTTGGGAGCTTGAACCTCCTCCTCCAGAGATGCCGGCATTCATGTCTCGAGATTCTGGTAAGTTAGTGCACGTCCTCTCTCTTTATTCTTCTTCATTGACTTCCTTTCCCCAACAGTGTTTGGTATAAGATTGGTTCTCACATTCTGTAGAAATCTTTACCTGCACAAAGGCAGCCAGCCTTAAATGAAAGTCATGTTGTAGATTAGGTGAAGGCCTGTGCTCTATTGTGTGCTGAGAAAGAGAGAGAGAGAGAGAGGTGCTGAGAGAAAGCAGAGAAAGAGAGAGAGAGGTGCTGAGAGAAAGCAGAGAAAGAGAGAGAGAGGTGCTGAGAGAAAAAGAGAGAGAGAGAGACAGGTGCTGAGAGAAAAAAGAGAGAGAGAGAACATTAATCACACAGCAGGAATCGTTGCAGATCAGTAAGCACACAAAAGAAAGCAATGAATCGAGCCGATGTTCTCGGTACTCTGAAAGAGGCAGGACGAGTAGACGATTCAGGAGAAGAGGGTGAATTAGTAATATTGACAAGACTACAAGAACTTCATGTGAAACGAGGTGCTACCAGACATGAAACACTATACAGGAAGCCAAAGAAGAATAGTAAACCAACACAGAACTGGTGTTAACAGAGCGCTTATAGACCTGCTGATGTGCAGTGAACACGAACACCATTCCCATCATGGCACACTTTAAAACCAGTCCCTTGCCAACTTTCCTCCCTCATCAGCTTTTGTGCTAAGGCCTTCCTTGATATCCTGTGTCCACCATTATTCTGGTTAACCCTTACCTCTGCTTGAGATAACTGTACTCTTCATTACCACTCTTCCCCATGTGGGATCTGGGGCCCCATTGCGGGGGAAAACAAGAATAGGCCCACTGCCTCCCTTACTATCATGTCATTGGAGTCGACTAATTGAGGGTTCCCTATGAAGTCCGAGTGCGTCTGCCCGAGCGGCAAGGAACAACCAGCCACACACAAAACGCAGGCCTTGACGCAAAGCCAGACGGACGAACTGGACTTTCTGCCTGAGCTTTCAGCCCGTGAACAAAAAGAAGAAGAGATTACCGTTCTCCGTTCTCTCCAAACCATAATTGTATTTAATATGGCCATAGAATAGACACAGTGCTCCTTAAATTGCATTCATAAAAGGCAGTTATATAAAGATTTGTTGAAATCGGATGTGTTTAGTTGAAAGGCGCAGATATCATAGCCTAGCTGTAAACTACAACACAGTGAGCCAACAGCCTTTTATGGGTGTATGAAGAAGAAAATGGTTGAGTGTGAAATAAACAATGGTAAATAATAATAAAATTGTGTCAACGTTTAATAGATTAGGTTAGTGTTTCACAGACTTTTCTTAGTCGCGACGCCTTTTTTCAAGTAAAATTTTACCGCAGCGCCCTTACCTAAATAAAAGTAGGACTATTCGTATGTAAGGGATTTAAAAAAAAATTTAACTTGTGTTTCTTTGAATATTTTGCGGCGCCCCTGTAAAGATGTCGCAGCTCCCGGGGATGCCACAGTGCACAGTATGGGAATCACTGGGTTAGGAGATGAACCTTAGAGAGGGAACATCAGCTGTATATGTGATGGCCGCAGTGCACAGTATGGGAATCACTGGGTTAGGAGATGAACCTTAGAGAGGGAACATCAGCTGTATATGTGATGGCCGCAGTGCACAGTATGGGAATCACTGGGTTAGGAGATGAACCTTAGAGAGGGAACATCAGCTGTAAATGTGATGGCAACAATGGTCTGGACATCCCATGTTCTCATTAGGCAACACTTTCCTTGATGCAACCTGGTCTTGCTAGCCATGTTGACTATCTCCGTGGTGGTAATGCTCCTGTCTCCCTGCAGCACAGGATAACACTAGCATCTGGAAGGGTAAGGGAGTTGCCAACAACAGCAAACACTGTCATTTGTTTAGTGTAGTAGAGATCGTTTTCATTAACCAATTTACCTCACTCAGTCAGTCAGGTTCCCCTGTGGGTTCTGGGTTCCCATTGTAGGTAAAACGGCCTGGCCATTGAGTTAACCGTAAGTGTCGATTCCTCCCCACCAAATATATGGTTGACACATTCCGTTTCTGGGGACAGCTTTTATCGAGTTTGCTCTCTAGACAGTTGCAGTCCCCTGCTGACGAGATTCTGTCTTCCCAAGTGGACCGCCACGATCAAAACATTGCGAAGGCAGCGTGGCCGAGGCTGCCAAAACTATTGGTCATTATCCCGCCCCGACACAGCACAACCACAATGCACGCTGCTCCCACGAAAAACACATAATATCCTGCGTTGGAAATGCGCATAAAATAACAGTCCATGTTTATGAAACAGAATAATCCGAGAGAATTGACAGCCAGCGAAAATAAACACAGCTGCTGTCCGCCATTTTGAAAACGGAAGTCCCATAGGTAAAACAAGAAAAGACCCATTGCCTCTCCAGCAAGCTTGTCGTAAGAGTCGACTGATTGGGGGTTTCCTTCGAAGTCAGAGTGCATCTGCCTGAGAGGCTAGGAACTGACAGTTTGCATACAAATAAGTCAGATCTGTAAAACGGATGTGCACGCAGCGCTGATGTTCTGGAACAAGTCTAAAAGTCCAGAGGTGGATGAACTGCCAGAACTTTCCGCTGGTGAATGTGAAGAAGAAGAAGAATCAATCAGGTGCCATTTTCACAGCGAAGGTTGGCTGCAGTGGATCTCTAAAACGCCCTGTCT